TTCCTTTCTTCCTTCCTTTCCTTGCCCAATGCAATAGCTCTTGTCTGTAATCCTAACACTACTACAGTCCTATAGTAAAATGGGAAGCAAACAAGCCAGAAGTATGAATATGTATCATAGCAAAAGAAACAAGTGAGACCTTCCTTATAATCAAGATGGAAGGAAGGAGACAACTGACCTCTGCAAATTGACCTATGACTCCCAAACACAAATCTCTACACACATATACAAGTATATAAATAAACATTTAAAAAATGTAACTAGACATAAAGCTGCTGCCCTACAAATCCTGACTCAGAATCCAACATCCACTAACTAGACTTGCCGCTATTTATATATCTAGAACCAGACCAAAGAGGTTCACTCTTGCCACCAAGCCTGACAACTGAGTTTGATCTCTGGGTCCCACATGGTGGAAAGAGAGAACTAATTCCTTCAAATTATCACCTGACTTCCCACACTAAATACATGTAATAAAAGGTTTCTAAGTCTGAAATCCAAATTGTGTATGCTTTGCACTATAGGTAGAGAATCACATTTTGTAATGCAGTGTAAAAATATTTAATCAAACAATATTGCAGTTGATTGAGAGGAGACTTAACTATGTAGCTCAGGCTAGTCATTCATTTATTCATTTATTTTTTAAATATTACAAAATAAAATATAATAAGATAAAACAAAACTATCACATTGAACTTCGACAAGACAAACAAACAGAAGGAAAAGAGCCCAAGAGAAGGCACAAGAATCAATGACTCATTTGTATGCACACTCAAGAATCCCATTAGAAACACTAATCTGAAAGACATACTATATACACAGAAGACCTGGTGCAGATCCATGCAGGCCCTGTGCATGCTGCTCTAGTCTCTATGAGTTTATATGATGTAGGTGAACATGAATAGAGTAACCCCACACTATCTCAGAGTTGAGTATAATAAAGGGTTCTTTATTTAGGGGGGCAGACTCACAGATAATAGTCCTCTGCACAAGTGGGGAATACGAACAAAATGCAGTGGCCAAGAGAGAGTGGGCACGTAAGTGCGCACATTTTTGGTACCCAAGGCCACTCCTAACCTGGTCCAGCATCTCAAAGGCCATTGAGTGAAGGAGGTTCCCCAGCACCTCCCCCTTTTATCTAAATAAGAGACTTCCAAACCCAATACGAAACTATATACAATAAGAACAGATACCAAGTATAAAAATTAGGATTACAACCAATATAAACAGTATTAAGCAAGAAATATATGCTAAATGTTTTTTTATTCATTTATTAAAGATTTCTGTCTCTTCCCCACCACCGCCTCCCATTTCCCTCCCCCTCCCCCAATTAAGCCCCCCTCCCTCGTCAGCCCAAAGAGCAATCAGGGTTCCCTGCCCTGTGGGAAGTCCAAGGACCACCCACATCCATCCAGGTCTAGTAAGGTGAGCATCCAAACTGCCTAGGCTCCCACAAAACCAATACGTGCAGTAGGATCAAAAACCCATTGCCATTGTTCTTGAGGTCTCAGTAGTCCTCCTTGTCCGCTATGTTCAGCGAGACCAGTTTTATCCCGGGCTTTTTTCAGACCCAGGCCAGCTGGCCTCGGTGAGTTCCCGATAGAACATCCCTATTGTCTCAGTGTGTGGGTGCACCCCTCGTGGTCCTGAGTTCCTTGTTCGTGCTCTCTCTCCTTCTGATCCTGATTTGGACCTTGAGATTTCAGTCTGT